TATCACTATGATCCATTCACTTACACACTGCAAGATTCCTGACAATCCATAAATTTGCTGCTCCAGTTCAGGATAAAGGGACTGACTATGATCCCTCTAAAACCCATCCCTCAGTCCAATGCATAGTATTATTTGCCGAAGCCCAGCAAAAGTAATCCATTGATATAATTTGGTAGCCCAACACCCCGAATTAAAACAAAATACATGCCTTGTGTTCCATGATAGACGCACAATGACAGCTATTTCCCTTTTATTCACATGGCACATGGTGAAAAGCTTCTGTCAGGATGTTCACATGCCTCTGTTTACTCCATTTATTTGATGCCAGCATCACCATAAAGTGTTTCAACACTAAATTTCAGTAAGATCCGAGTCAAATTTGAAAAATAGAAGGCTGTCATGACTTCAGTGCCTGATCAGTTTCATTTAAAGATGGGTAATTTTTCCATTTGATGTGTTTTCATCAGTGTGAAATCCACCATTTGTGAAAGTGTGTGGCAGTTCCATCTTGCGTTGAGACAATTCTTTCTCACACTCATCCCCTTGATCCTTGCAGAATTTTCTCTTGTATAACTGATAACCTAATGGAAATGAAATAAATATTGTAAATCATTGTTAGACTGGCTGTATCAGACTTGTGGTACACAAAATTGTTGTCTTTTTGCAATATGTCTCCTGGTCATATCCAATACGAAGCATGAGATGTAATTCAAAATTAAAATATCTACGTTTATGATGTATATATTGCAGAAATGTAAAGATGTAAAGATGTAAAGTGCAGAAATCCAGATCGCAGGCCAGATCTTTTAGTATGCTAAAAGTGCAGAAATCGTAATAACATGATAAAAAATGGTGTTATCAGTTTTAATTAAGTCACTATGCTAGGTCGCATACAGGTGAGTATACAATTGTGTTTTGTGTCCTGACATACAGTATGAGTTTTATAAGCATCCTATTGACTGCATTATTTTTCTCAACAAATGGTTATGAAAGTTTTTAGAACAAAACAAGAATTAAATTAATTTATATCTATGAGATTTCGCTTTTGGTCATGTTCCCTTTACCCACAAATGTATTCATAAACAAACAGTGAAACTTCTCACCTTATTTCCCACAATGCCTTCAAATCCTCTTTTCCAGAATGAGCATGAAATACTGAGTTCTAGCTCTATACCTAATTTGTGGTAATGCTGTGAATACACTGAGGCACAATGTAATTAACCTCACAACTGTGAATCAATCTAATCTTACAATTAATTTTTCTTTCCGTTTTCTTTTCCGTTTCTATGACTTCTTGTTCCTTGGATCAGTAGGTGATAATCTACAATTTGCACTATAATTTCCAAACCAACGCCACAATATAATGACTGGATCCTGAATACTTGGTGTATGTGATGTGAACTCTGATGTGCTGACTAAGTTATACTCTAGGTTTGCACAATCTTTAACACTTACATTTCTCCCTTAATTCACTTGTGCAATTGTGCATGTCCCTTTCAGATCTGCCATTGAGTGAGACTGCCGGCTCAATGGCTATTGTACACTACCCTGGTAGGTGTCGTGTTTCAAAGGTGAATGAAGTGGGCTCCTTTCTATGTGGAAAGAGATTTAAGATCTTTTGGGATGAAAAGCTCTGTATAATTGTAAGGGATAATTATTATTAATAGGTCTTGTTTGCAAAACCTGCAGACACTGAAGAAGCTTGTGAATAAATATATGTAGGGAGACTTCTAAGACAAACATCCTTCTATTAATTTATAGTATAGGAAATATACAATATGTGTGTTATCTTAATACAGTTCTATAGGTTACATTTGTAATCCAATCAATTTCTTCCTCTTAGAACAAGTGCATTGCATGATACAACAGCCTCATCATGATGGGGCTTTACACAAAATTAGTCTACTAATTAGTATTGTCTACTTACTTGAAAAAAAAACATGAAACAATAGCTGAAATAGTTATTTTTGTTAAGTTCTTTCTTTTTACCATGTGAAAGAAATGGTATTCGAAAATGAAGTCATCATGCATCTTTTAATAAATGCACATGATGCAAAAAGAGATATGTATTTGAAAATTATGTTACTCCTGTACATTGTTGCTGTTCTTTTTTGGTCAAATTCACAGCCATCATTACAGCTGTGTATTTGGCTACACTTTCATACTAAAATATAAATACAGCTCATTCATGTAGTGGATGTTTTTTTTTTTCTTGTATGTGGTCATGGGAGTAGAACAAACAAAGAAATAAGGAATATTTAAAAAAATAATTGTGACTCACTTCCAACAATAGAGAGCGCGAAGACCAGCTGAAAAATACTGTAGATTAGTGGAAAACTGAACATCACTTCTAGCTCTTCAGGAGTAAAGGACAGTTGAACAATTGTGCTGCACAACTGTGAATTCTGGAATCCAGTCTCTAAGGCTATTGTCCGACACCTGTAGAAAGATAAAAAAATAGAATGTTCATTTTTTGCTTCCAGCTAGCATTCAAGCATTTACAGTTTTGGGGTGTGTTTTATACAGTAAATAAGCACCACATTGCACACATGCCATGTGTACAGGTTCCAAAGGAATGATTTTCTTTCAATGTAGTAGAACTTCAAATAAGGTTTATGGTGATACTGTTGTTTAAATTAAAAGTCCAAGACCTCCCTAAATTTATGTCTATGTCTAGCCCCTCATATTGTCTGAAATTTAAAATTCTTATATTCTGAAAACTTTTTTTGACAAAATGAAAAAGAGAGCCAAATATTTTTTTCTCTAATTCCATCTCTATTACCTTTAGTATATATTAAATATTTATTTTGTTTTTTTCCTCAGTAAACATATATGCTATATGTGAAAGTCATGTTATGTTAAAAGTATGTCAAGTTATCTACTCATACTAATTGTTAAAGTATTAAGTATTTTTTTTAAATGGTCAAATAAGGAGAAAGAAAAATGTTTTATACCTATAGTAGGGCTGCCCAACTACTCGAGCCAGAAGAAATCCAAGAGCAAAGCCAATAAATGGATATATAGTTCCAATAATCCATAGAGCAGGGGAAATTACCCAGGAGGACTGATACAGAACACCTCCAACTACAGCAATAATTACAATCAATAGTGTACCCATGATGGAACCAACCTGTAGAAAAAAATGAAATACAATTGTAATCAGAAGCAATTGCATCAGGCTTTCCTACCAATGCATTGAATATTAATGATTAAACACGGAATGATCCTTTTAACAGGGGATTTACAGTGTATACTTATTTTACTTTAAATGGGGAAGGCAATCCCTATCTCTAAGAACCAAAATAAGGAAATTGATGAGGGACTGAAGGGAAACATAATAACACTTTAGTCAATGTATTATTCATGTTTAACTTGGATGTTACCTGCACATTTACATCTTATATTGTACTGTATCTTGCTGCTTTGTTAACTACAAAGACAAGTCAACTGCACTACAAAACCTGACTACAGCTACAATAAAAGAAGGTCCCAAACACCGTTAAACTAGTCTTTTATCACACATTCATTGCTCAAAAAACTATTTTTGTCTTGTATTCTCATGCATGTATTCTCTTTAATTTATTTAAAATATAATGTTGTTAGTCCTTGGGGCTTACAATATATTACACATTTTTTGTAAGTATAAAAAATAACATGAAAAAGATTGTGTATCTGTGACAACCAGGCCCCAACTACCCCAGGCGAGTATTTTCTGGACCTGCATCACAAAAATGATACTAACTAAACTCGAATAAACAGCATTCAATAATCACTTTTTATTACCACTACAATAAGAACCAAGCTATATACTTCTCATTACAATTTTCAGTTTTATATGACAACAGTGATGTTATAGTTTGGAATCTGAGAACCATACATAACTTATTTTTATTTTTACCCTATTTCTAAAAATATAAATCTCATCATCCCAGTTCCAGTAATCTCAAAAGCTATACCATACCTGTTACTACATGTAATATACACTGTAGAGATCTTTTTTCATCCCAAAACTCCAGTAGTCACTGCTAGAGGGCCCATGAAGACAAGAAAAGCAGCTTTGCTCTCAACTTCCTGACAGCCGTGAGGGCAGGCGATAATTGTCACGCCCTCTTCAGCCAGAGGGCGCTCCTTCTCTGTCCTGTCTCTTGTTTCCGGTGCTTTGCTGTCCTTCCGGTGTTTCTCTCTCTCTGGGGCTATATATTTCTGGGTCTTTCATTTGCTTTCGCTCTGCATTGCCTAGCACCAGGTCGCCCCACGTCCGCTACTTGAGGGCGTTGGTTTCTATACGGCATTTCCTGAACAGCTGAGCCCAGGGCCAATCCCCGTCTCGCTGCTACGCATAGGGTCTTTTACGCTCTCCTGCCATTCCACGGTTCGTCCTTTCCAACATCTATGACAGTAATAACATCATTGTTGGTTGACTGTTTTGGAATCTGTTTGTACGATGGTCTGTCACACTTCAGGGGGCAGATGTCAAAGGTAGGTCTTGGCTAAGTAGATTAGATCTTACATTTGGAAGTGAGTGGAGATGTTCAGATTATAGAGTCACTCCTGAAAGCACAGCACCAGGACTCGGGTCATGACTCCTTCACGGGTAAGAATTTCAGCTTTTAGAAGCTTAAAGTCTGATGCAGTGGTTCTGTCAAGGTTGTAGTAAGCCTTCTGTGCTTCACCACAGATGGAGGCAGCCATAATACTCACCCGGAGTATAGAATGCCAGTTGAGGTGATCAGCCGCCTTCTCAAAAGCCCTCAGGTATGCTTCAATGTTATCTTCTGCAAGACGTGAGCAGGCTGGACTAGAACCTGAGCTGCGGCGGCAAATTCAGGTGGAGGGGATGTTGTTTTTTCCACAAAGTAATGGATTTGTGCCAATGCTGCCTCTTGGAATGTTATGAGCTGAGCCTGAGGAATATCCTGGGACTGTTGCTGTAATCCATTAGCCTCATCTTGAGCAGCTACCAATAGGGTGAGGGCTCAGACCACGCCTTCTATCATAGCAATTCTGTGAGCCACAGTGATTCCCTTTTAGATTGTAGCCCCACATTGGGTACCACAATGTGATAGTGTGTGGAACTTCTTCTCTACTGTTATCGCCAGTTTTATACTCAATATCTCAGGATGAGATAAAACTGGTCGGAAATCACTCCTTAAGTACTTTAATTTTAAGGTCAAGCATTAATGTGTGTGATGGTAAGTTTTCTGTTTTTGAGGAGAACATTTTGGCTTAGCTGAACTATGCCGAACGGAGACATGCATGTGAGCATCTGATATAGCTGCTTCTATTTAGAGCAACAGCTATAGGCAATGATGTTATTATTACATGCCCATGAAGCTTTTAGGGAGGTTAGTCGGACCTCTATGTCTTCTTGTGGTGACTAGTGGATTTTTGTGACAAAAAAAGATCACCTCTGTGTCACACATATGTATACAAGACCTCATCTATTACTATTACTAAGTTCCATATAAAACTCACCATCTCTGTGCAGTGTCACTGCAGTTATAATGTCTTACCTTAAGAATCATCTTTGCTTTTTTGGGCCATCTGTACTTAACATAGATTCCCAGTCCAACAGGTATAAGAAGTGCTACCAAAGTGATTCCTAGATAGAGAACAGTTAAAAGTTAGAAATATAATTACATATGGTTGGACATAAACAAACAAATGTTACATTAAAATGTTTGTATGCAAGAATATATATATAGTATACATTACCATCTGCATTATTATACTGTCTTAATTCAATGTTTTCCCATCTGTATGCCTTCTTTATGCAATATGCAAGAATAGAATAATAATTCTATGGAGGTATTCTACTTTATATTTTGCCAATTTAATGTCAGCTAGTAGTTTATCCTGCGTCTGTATATTGTTTTTCAGCTATATGAATGTGTAGAGAGGAAAGAATTGTAAATGCTAGGAAAAATCTGGCAATGGTCACCTGATGTGGCATTATCAATTACAATGGAAATTGTAAAAAAATGTTGCTAGAGCTAAAAAAGGAGCTAGGGTTTAGATCATTTCAAGAGAGGCTTGTGTTTTAACTTCTGTGTCTGTTTCCCAAAACCCATGTATTAAGGTATACATACTACCACACCTTGTCCCTGGCAATGACACATTATATATACTGTAAGAACATAATAATTGTTACGAATAATAGAAACTATCGTTTGATGTTAAGTGATCCAAGAATCACATCCAGGTGTATCTTGAAGAATCCAAGGTATTGGCTTCAACAACATGGCTGGGTTGCTAGTTCCATATTCCCACAACCCTTTTGATAAATAGGTGGCTCCTGTTTCAGTTTTAAATGTATTACCATATAGTTTCCTCTTGTGCCCTTTGGTTTATGTTTCTCAAGAAATCTGCTGTGTTGGTTTAATCTAAATATATCACATTATACTGTATGTCTGTGCATCCATTACTTTTTTTGATGATTGTTGAAAGATCTGCACCAAGCTGGTTAGGCACCAGCTAACTTGCCTAATTTCTAGAATATGCTTTACAAAAACAATCAAAAATGTAAGTGCTGGGGCAGTGAAATTAAATTTGTCATTGTTGCTGTATACTATTGAAATTTGTACACCAGATTAAAAATAAACCCATCAATCTATTTTCTTACCACTTGATCCAATTTAGGGCTGTGGGGGAGCCTAGCAAGCAATAGGTACAAGGCAGGGTATATCCTGGACGAGATGCCAGTCCATAGCAGGGCAGACATTAATACATGCACACTCTCACACCCAAGGCCAGTAGCCAATTAACCTACCAGTATGTTTTCGGACTGTGAGAACATACTGGAGAATCTAATAAAAACGAAAAGAACATACAAACAGATAGCACCCCAAGTCCAGAATTGAACCCAGAGTCCCAGTGGTGTGAAGCAGCAATGTTAACCACCTTGCCACCCTCAAAAGATAAGGCAATAACACAGAATGTCAGCTTTAGAGCCCTATTAGAACAAACATGTTTATGTGTTCAGCCCCGTTCAATTTCAGGTCAGCATAAGTATTACTCACATACCCCTTACATGTAATGACTGCTTTAAGTCTGCAACCCATCAACATCACCAGACTCTTAATATGTTCCTTTTCAATACTTTGCCAAGCCTTAATTGCAGCCACTTTCAATTTTTTACATTGTTGTAGAGTTTTCTGACTTTAGTTTCCCCTTCATCAAGTAAAATGCATGTTCAAACAGAATTCAAATCAAGAGATTGACTTGATCAGTTAAAAAGTGTCTACTTCTTCTTTGTGATGAACTCCTTGGTTAAGTGTGTAGTGTAGCGCCCTCGTTCGGTAGTGAGGAGGAAGCGGACCTAGGCACTCATGGTACCGCAAAACAGGCTGGGAGTTGTAGCCGGGGGGTTAGCACTGACCCTGCGTATGTAAATAGTTTTATATTAGTTTTAGTGTCCTGTGTAGCTTTGTAAGTGTATAGTCTGTTGTTAACGAGTTACCACCCTAACCGTGTGTACGTGTTCCATCTGTCTTCTTATGTGTGTGTATATCTTGTGTTCGGTTTTTGTGTGGTTTTGATAGGAGAATAAAAGCAGTCATGAAAATGCTATAGTAGTATGTTTTTGATCATTGTCTTGTTTCAGGGTGAATCCCTTCCCATAAGTTTGGAGGTATTTCTTTGGACACGGGCAGACACAATGTGTCTGAACATTTCAGAATTTATTCTACTGTTGCCATCATCAGTTACATCATCAATGAAGAAAAATTAGCCTGTTTCAGATACGGTTATGCATGACCAATCAATGCCAGTATCTTCACTATAGTTAACAGATGAGGTGATGTGCTTATTATCATTTGCAGTTACTCTCTTTCTCCACACTTTTGTCTGTCCAACTTTGATACAGAACATCTTTGAATCACCCTTTTATTTATTGTCAAAATCAATGAAGTCTGGAATTTAAAACGGTCAGTCAATATAATTTATCTTAATTTATCTAATTTATCTAAACAACTATTTTTTGTGAATTTGAATGAATGATTTGGACCGTTGTCTTGTTGAAATGTTCTTGTGTCCACGCTTGAGACAGAATTAGGCATTTTCTCAACTTTGGCTTCATTATTTTTATGCTGTATATACTGCTGATGAGCAAAAGCTCAATTTTAGTTTAATCTAACTATACAATTTAAAATGTCATTTAGATGCAGTTTGTTAAATGTGATTTTCCACTTTTGCAAATAGACAAACAAGACAAAGAGTAAGAAGACAATGAAGAAGAAGACAAATAAGATGAAGAAGAAGACATAGATTTAATCTCTAGTTCTTTAATGACTGAGGGAAACAGAAAATCTTCTGCAGAGGCCTCTATATAGTTCTATTGCTCTGTGGTTCCATTGCACTTCCAATGAGCAAAATGTATTTAGGAACTACTTACATGTGTGAAGAAATATAACCTTCATGTTTTTTGGAATCCATTAATTTATGACAATTATGACTACGGTGAGTGAAATTTTATTGCTATATTATTATTATTTATTATTATTATCAAAACACATTACCCAGTCTGTAAGAAACTTGTTGTGTTACATTGTTATTTTCCTGTTTCATCATGGTTGTGAATAAATCTGCAGAGGACTGTAAATGGGTGGCACATTGAATATTCATTATATGGTGAATCCACTTGGGTTCTGGGTTTGATCAAGAAAGTTTCAGTCTTCTATGTGGAGTTTGGATGTTTCTTTTGTACTCCTGTGAACTCTACTATATCTCCATCATCGAAAGATATGCTATCTTGATTAATTTACGTCTCTCTCAAAATCTCAAATACCCCTGTGTGACAAGTGATGGTTTAGACAGTTTCACCTTAATCAGCATTGTTAAATAGCAAAATGTTAAAAATTAAGATTCGTTCTCTTAATTCTTAATGAATGCATGTGCTCAAAACACACCGATAAACCACTAAAAGTACAAGAGCTGTATAGCTTTAAATTTGAATTCCAGTATGATTACTTATTACTTATTACTAACATTACTTATTAATTAATTACTTATTACTTATTAGCCTCATAATTAGGTATAAAGAAATGGAGCAGCATTATACCCAGCTCACACCTTACTAAATCTTCCAGTTTTCACTTAAACAGTCATTAGCCATTCAAAAGTAAAAGGTCTTTTGTTGGGTGCATTTTTGCAAAGTTAGTTACCTAATAGGTCATTAGTTGGTTTTTCTCAACAATTAACAACAATTAAAACAAAAACCCAGTATCCAGATGTGAAATATCAGTCTTGTCTGTCATGTTAACTAAATGTAAAAAGCATACTATTGTTGATGTTACTATAATTTACTATAAAATGATCATTTCCAGTACACCAACAATATTTTTTTCATTTTTCAGTTACTCTATTGTACAGAATTAAAAGAGAACCGTGAATTTAAAATAAAAATATTTTATTTATTTTTAATGTATTGTAATGAGAGCAGTAGATGAATGAATTCTTTAATTCTTACCTATGCTGTCATAAGGTATCTGAATTGTGTCAGATGATGTCCACATTTTGGTGTAGATCAAAAGACAGAGAGGCATCATCCCCATTGCCAGGATTGACGAACAGGCTGTCATACTTATGCTACAACAAACAAATTATTAATAATCACACAAATTTGTAAATAACTTAAAATACATTAAATTATTAATACCTCCACTCACAAAATTAAAACACATTTCATAACTAACTAAGAAGGATATAGCACTTATTGTTCAAACCTTAATACATATAGCGCTGTTAGTGACAACCTCCATTATCTGTACTGCATAAAAGTATTACTATACATGCAATAAGACATAATAAAGTACAAACATATGAAACAATCACGTGCCTTCTATTCAAAATATTATTTGGAAAATATCCACTCTCCCTTTCTTGTAAAGTTCCATAAGTTACATGTCACCAGAAAAGTTAGCTGTTTTGGAATGCAATTTGGACCACTGAGTTGAACCACATCAGAAGTTACTCCTGTTGTGTGTACATTTTATCTTACATCAACACTCTTCTAAAATTTAAAATTTAAACATTTAAATTGATATAGAATGCTAATCAAATCTGAGACAAAATCTAGAAATCTTAATCCCTATATTTTTTTAAATATGACATTTTTGTCATGATTCTTTATACTTTTTTTCATTCTGTGAATATTATATCCTACAGTACTTGACGTACTAGCTCAATAAAAAAGAGTTGTTACCTGAGATCCATGTCTCCATCCAGCCAATAGGCTAAAATATTTGATCCAGATCCCCCTGGACAGCATCCCATGATCAGGATTGCTACTGCTTGAACTGGCAACACATTGAAAGCAAGAGACAGCAGAAAGGCTGTGAGGGGCATGATTCCAAACTGACAAAGGAAGCCCACAAAGATTCCCCAAGGTCTCTTGATGTGCCCCCATAGCTTCTTTGCTTCCACCGTACAGCCCATAGCAAACATCACCATTGCCAACATGATTGTTAAGACTGTGCTCAGAACAAGGCTTAGGACCTCATTAAAATTGCTAGGAGGTACAAGGCAGGATGTGCCGTCACATACTGTGGCATGTGTGGAGCAGTTTGGAGAAGTCATGTTCATGACTATAGAAAGCATATGTCTTGTCAGTTACCAGCTACAGGCAGAGAGATTCCAAGTGTCACTATACATGTGAAAGTCAGAATGTCTGTTCCCCTTCTAATTCTATCCTTTTAAGTCATGAGAAAGCAATTAAAAGAAGTCATTAACTTGAGTTTATTTTATGAGTTCAGTGTTCAAATAATAAGAAGAAATGAGTAGCATTGTTCCAACTAAAGAAAAACCACTAGGTTCAATGAACATAATCATCACTTTATTTTTTTATCACCTTTGGTCTTAACTTTTATTGTCCCTTTCCAGGCACGGCTAAGCACCTCATATTAAAATTCTTTTTACAATGCCACACCAAGAGTAAGACACCACCATGTGCGTCATACTAAATTTCTTCATAAAAAGTCAGCAAAAAACATTATGATACTAAAGCAATCTGAATTACTGTAGAAAGGTCATTTGCTAACCTTATGTAATATATAGCTGGGCTGTGGCCCTTTGCGATTCCTATAAGAAACTAGAGGTTAAGCTTTAAAAATCCAAATTGGATGATTGTTTCACATGTTCCAATAAAAGTTTAAAGTACACTTACAGACAAACCATCCAAACCAGTGATTTTATATAGCTTTCTATACTTTAAACTATTTTTCTAATCTTCTAGCAACTTGTATAATCTATGTTTTTATTTATTCAGTTAATTTATATTATGTGTTGTAGCTGGTAGGGTGAGACTGCAGTTTAAAGGAATTTATAAGTCCTCTTAAGAATATTAAAGATATCAACAGTAAGGGGCAAGAATTATGCACTTATTGAATGCTGAGAGGATGAGTCTGAGGGGATGAAAGGATAACCGAGAGGATGATTTGTTTCCATTTATTTTTTGTAGAATACATTGTTTTCTGTATCAAGTACTGAGTATTTATAAACTGTCTAGGCATTCTAAGGAAATTGACATTAGCAAATTCTGCACTGTTGCAGTATTATCTAATTGACTTTCTGGTATTAGAATTTATGAATGAAGAAAACATACTGTATGTAAATAACACATTCATACATAAAATGCTTACAGGAGGCCTGTATTTCAAATTCACATGAGTACATTAAAGGTCAATGACAACTTCACGAAGTTTTAAATAGCTCAACACATCAGTTTGTCAAATGTCTGCTTCCATTTTCTTCGGTTCGGTTGCACTGTTACTGAAACGTGTATAGTTAATATGTAATGTTTTAAATAGCTGTTAGTTTAGTCATAATTTTACATGCCCTTTCACATCCACAAATTCAAGAAATTACCAATTACATTTACTAAAAGTAAACAAAGACATTGATCTATGTGATCAGGATAGGACTAGGATTAATCATTTCTTTTTATAACCAGGAACAACCTTCAAACTTCTTTGAATTTGATACCTTAAAATGCAGAGACATTTCTATGTCAGATATTTAGTAAATCCTTTATTGAAGACTGGTGTTGAAAATGGGCCAGATAAAACTGAATGTAAAAATTGTCAACTGGTATTTCTTGGCACCCTCCATCCTTTAAAAAATAACTGAGGACTCTATTGGAACATATTTAAGTCATATGTAAAAGTCAATATACAGTATGGTATCCCTTTAAACACTGGCAGAATTATAGAACAATGCAGCCCCCTCCCCTCTAAGTATGTGCCAACTTTTAACTTGTGATATGACTCATAGTTAGAGATTGTCAAATGTAACAAACTGAAATCAGAGTACAAACTGAGGGTGAGACCATGGTTAGTTCACAACTCTATAATAAACTTGTATGCTACGTAATTACAAATTGCAATAAACATGGCTGCTGAGATTAGTCCTTTTGTACTACAAATGTTCTTAATTGCAGCAAACCTAGTAACAGCTTATGCCCTCTAGAGCAGTTGTTCTCAAAGTTTGGTCCACGGACCACCAGTGGTCTGGGAGCGTGCACCAGGTAGTCCATGGGCATGCCCTAATCATCTCTCTTAAAGCAAGTCTGCGCTGTTTAAGTCAGAGAAAAGAATATTGTACTGTTCGCTATGAAGGGGCTCCCCCTAGGAGCACTGTTAAGAACTGCAAGTTGTACATAGTGGGAGGAGGGAGTTGTGTGTTGGTTCTAGGTACCGAGGTTTCACTAGCCCATTAAGGGGACTATGTGTGTCAGTAATGGGGCAAGCACCAGCCTAGTTGTAGTCTTGGCTGGCTTGAGGGTCTGCCGAAAGGGCAACGTTTCTGTTCATTCTCCTTGGTTGTACCCTTCTGTTACCTTCGTGCTTTAATGCAGCTTGGGTTATGGCAGACCATCTCGCCTCTTCATTCTCCCCATCAGCACTTATCGCTTCAGTGTTTTAGTTTTATGCACCATGAATGAAATTATGTCACACATTGAAAACGAGAAAGTAAGTTTGGCAGCGACGTCCTTGCCTCCATGGAGCAGTCTATTGTTGTTATTGAGGCATGGGTCGCCTTTTTTTTTTACCTGCACCCACCTGACCACATTTAAAATGATAAAAGTGCTGACCCGAAGCCGGTCCAAAATTGCTCCATTAGAAATTACATCGAACAATATTCGAATATATCCTTTCTCTTTTGGGATGTTTTGACCTTACTCAGTTTGTTTGTACTTGTTTGTACCACATAACAAAGGACACACCTTAGATCTAATTATTGCAAATGACTCCTTTGTCTCCAACTGCTCTCCCCTTGATCTAGGCCTCTCTGACCACTTAGCCATTCTCTTCAATCTGGAATTACCTGTTTCTAACACGTTCCCCTCACGCTCTGTAAATTTCCGCAACTGGCGATCAGTTTATCACTCAAGGTTTGCAAATTCTGTTCTGTCCTCCTTATCCTGTTTCTCTTCCTCTGACCTTCTACAGGACAAAATACAGTTACTTGAAAATGCTCTTTTATCTACCCTCGACACCTTTGCTCCTTTAAAAACACGAACCATCTCCTTCTCTCGCCCTGCCCC